AAAAATGTTAAGAAAACAAGCACTGATTATCTTAAAATACTATTTTGTGCAACTTTGCTGCATAATTTATTCAAACTTTTATAATTTTTTCTACCAATTTAGAGTGTATTTATAATTATTTAAGAGGTATTCACATCTGAAAAAAACAGTACCTCTTCTGTGTATGTACATTTACAGGGCTGACTTTCAAACCATCAGAAATGTTACCATACTAAAGTCATGAAAACCACTTTAATTTATTATCTATCCCAGGAAATTCCCAATTGTATTAATTTTTGTTCTATAATTACTTTAGCTATAACAGAAGGGGTTTTGGCAAACAAAATTAAATTACATGTTTAAAAGCAGATACAAAAACTTGTATCTTAAAAGTATATACATAAATTATTATACAGAAAGAAATTATACTCAACCTTCATATGGATACGTGATTTTTAAGATGATACTTGAATAAGCTTATCCTTTAATATCTAAATTTATTCTTTGATTTCATTTAATCACTTTTTTCAGACTAGCTTACATTTATGGACATCATCTGAAATATTTCAAAGAAAATACTTTTCATTAGTGATAGTGAGAATTTAATGATCTATAAAATAACAATATAGTTATATACTGGCCTCTGTTTGACACTGAAAAATCTAAAATGCATGCTTACTGAATTCTGGTCTTCCCAACACTAGATTGTATTTTAATAGTGCAATATTTTAGAGATAGCTTTTAAAATTAACAAAATGCAACAGTCCAGAAAAGTTAATAAAAAACAGCTCAATCCTGATGAGCTTGGCTGATACTCACAGAAATCAGGAAAAATAAGTCTATCTATAAGTATTCTTTCACAATAAATCTATAATGGAATATAAATGAAACACACCATTATGACAGAATTATTCTTCCATAGCAGAGAACTATACTGCATTCTAATGTGATGTTCACATATTTGTTAATTTAATCAATAAATGTGTATTTTATAGATTTAATTTGCTGGAACTATCATATGGTAGCTACTTTATTGCTAATAAAAGAAATTTGTTTTGCTTTGGGTGCTTTTAAAGGTTTCCACATCTCATCTGAGTAAATTAGGGTTTAGGCATTAAAACAAATACTTCTGAAAAAAAATGGTAAAAATAGGTTAAATTGAGAATACTTTTTAACTCTAAATTTAAAAAATAAAACATTAACAAATTATGGTAGTGCTTATTGAATAGAACAGTGATACAAGAATCTATAAGACTTCTCAGTATAGTAGATTGCATGTCATTTTTCAACATCTCAATTTATAGAATCATGGTTGAATATAAACATTTAAAATTAGAGCACAAATATGTATTTCATGATAAAACATCAATTAATCCAATCAATTCATTATAAATATATATGATATATCTTTCCATTTGGGGAAAAGATATTGGCTAGTAAATCAAAATTGAGTTTATTGCAATTATTACAGCATCAATTAATTACTCATGATTATTTTGAATACAAAATTGGGAAATACTTCAGAACTGTGTGAATGAATACTTTATTTTAAACATTAAGTGTAGAGAAATTGATTAAAACCTTATGAAGTGATTATCTCTGAAGACTTTGTAACTGAATAGGTCTGCAGGTGAGTAACTGGATACAAATACTCTTGATAGCTCATATGTATGCTTTGAAAAGATAGGGGTAGAAGCCTTAACAGTTCCTTGTGAGGACATTTGATAACCAGTATAAAATGGTTATGGTGGCTATTTGATACTGCTAAAAAATTTTTTAAATTAAGAGCTTGGCCAGAACTTCCAAGTACGTCTTCAGTAGAAAGGTCATTAGTGTTCATCATTGAATTTCATGCTCAGAGACTCATTTTCAAAAAATAAACTAGAATGTTTCCTAAAATAGAATAAATATTATTACACTGGCCTCTCCTTTTAGCGACTAATATCACCCATTAGCAATCAATAATATTCACACAGATTATTTTTTATTTTGCTTTGCTTTAAAAGTTATGAATTATAAACACCAACATAACAAAATTATACAGAACATATAGTGCATAAAGAAAGTGGACAGTTATACTTCTAAGTGCCTAATTGTTTATCCAAGTAGTTGCTAAATTAAAATACCAAAAACTCCAGACGTCACTCTCATTAATTCTGGTAAACTTTGTATGAGTTTGTGAAAAGAGTTAGAAATTAAAAGTTTGACTACTTAAAGTTTCTCCACTTTTAAGTTATTACATGAAAATATTTTAATCTTGTTCCCAATTGAGAGCAGAGATCACCAGGTTGACGATATAAATCTGCTAAGAAATCAGATGTTCTTTTTATTAAATGACTAAAAAATCGTGAAAAGCAACTGTTCTGTAAAAGTGACTCTACCCAAAACTGAACAAAAGCAAAGGTAAATATATTAAAAATAACAACTAATATGCTTCAGAAAGTGTATTATTTCAAGCTTTTAAAATTATACATAGTAAAACTGTTATTCAATCAATATCAAATATTTATTAAATTCATTTGACACTGACTAAGAAGATTTGATACTAATATTAAGAAAAAGTTGAGTCAACATTATTTATTGCGTGGAGATAAAAGTTTATAAAAAATGACTAATCAAAAATTCAAACTTAAATGTTATCCTTTGAAAAATCTATTTTGTTTTTATAACATATTTGTCTTCTAAAGCATCCCATCTCTTACGTCATTGTCTCTACAACTCTCTGAGGTAGGCATTGTTTTCTCTATGTGAGAGATGAGAAAAATAAACGAAGAGTGGTCCCAGGTGAAACTCAAACTGAAATTCAGGAAGTCTAGATGTGTCAACACTCCACTTCTCCCAGTAACCCATACTGAATATAAATCTTAAAAATTTGAGTACTAATATGTATCTCATGAGAAAACATCAAGTAATCCAATCAATTCGTTATAAACACAGATGCTATATCTTTCATTTTGGGAAGAGATATTGGCTGAGATATAGGACGTGAAAGAGAAAAACAGTAAAAGCCTTAGAAGTGTGCATCACTAATCATAAGCCACTATCATACTATCAAAAAATCTTTGGGATATTTTTCAAGAAAAATTAAATTTTTTCTAAAAACAATATATACAAAACAAGTATGACATAAATTGGTGTTGTATTCCCATATGTGTCTAAACTCTTTTAATATGACTATCCAATTTGCTCAATTATTAAATGTTTCAGGATCTTATTCTAGTAAACAACTGCCTCTTTTATAGATAATATGAAAAAACTAAAAACAAATACAAGAAACAAAGGAACTGAATCATAGGTGGATAATGAAACATAAAAGTTTGGAAATCCCACCAGTCATCTTCTTTGTACTTGTAGAGAGAAACACACAAAAAGTCTACTCTGAAAAGAAATTCCACCTTTATTTAAAGAATACACAAATCTAGAAGTCAAGCTAATGGTAGAAATTAAACACACACACATACAGTCACACACACACACATTTTGAGTCCCAATGGTTTCTTCCTACTTAGGTTTTATTTACTTAACTATAATGCAAAATAGTTTTGAAGGAAGAAAGTCAAGATTTATTGTAGTTTATGAAAATGTATATTTCTATTATTATGATGAATTTCTTAAGATATCCTATGAGAAGATGACATTACATAATATGATCTGATTAAAAGAAAATGAAATTGATCATTATAAAGTATCATGTCTATATCATTTGGAAAACATTAAAACAACAAAGATTTAAAATAAATACCTTCTCCAACCACCAAAAAATGTGTGTGTGTATACAAGTATATGTATACACACACATACACACACACAATGAACATATCTACTACAATAAAATTGCTGAGGATTAAATGCAAAAGTATTGAGGAGTTAAAATCCATCGACAAATTACTTTCTCTAGTGGAGTAAAAACTACCTTTTGCATCCAACTAAGAAAAGCACTACAACTTTGCAATTTTACAACCCAAAGTTCCAATTATCTTTCTTATTTCATCAAGATTTTATCAGTAAGCCTTACTAGCAGAAAAATTATTGATCAGGGATCCACATCAATAAATGTAAGTACTAAAAATATTTCCAGAGATAATTTGAATAATACAATTTCTTAGAGAAGAGAGTGTTATTAACAAATAGGAGAGCTTTATGATGGTGTTTTAGTATTTCTGTTTGTTTTGCTTCACTGTGTGGAAACTCCAGGCTCCTTCAACACATTAGCAAAACATAACAAAACAATATCAATAATAATAACAAAACTTATTTGAGTATTCAGAATGTGTTTTGTCATTTTAATTGAGAAACATCTGATAGTGGAAGAAATCTTTTGGCTGCTCAATCTACAAAACTGAGAATGTAAAATTAATTTATTTGGGGAAGAAAACCCATAATTTTCTAAATTTATTTATTTATTTATTTCAGTTTTCCAACTGGTTTGTAAACCCAAAGGTTTTCTTGCTGGGGTCATACACTACACTGCCCTTGGGAAAGCTTTCTTTTTTCGTTCTGTTTTACAGCCCAACCCACCCCCACCTCATATTTTTTTTAAGGTGGAAAAAATAATGCAAATACCCACAAAACAGTTCTTTCAAGTAGTCAAAATTACTGTGTGAGTTCAAGATGGCCCTAATAGTTGTTTTATTGTCCTTTGTATATTAAGGTCTGGGACCTTAACAAGAAGCAATGTTTTTAATGCATTTCTGCAACTGCCATCTTCCATATTTCATTAAGGTTATACATTTCTTCCTCCAACTCTCTATCCTTCCCATTTCTTCCTCCAACGTTGGTCCAATTTATGATTTGTGTAACTTGGCTAAACATTGAAATAAATGCACACTAAGCAGTTAAATTAACGCATGTCAAACATCTAAACCGTTTTACCCTGATTCATGAATATGAATATTAAGAAGTTATGCATCATAGCAGGACCAACTGAAAAATGCATATATTCCAATGCTTGAAACAGAAAAAATATCACGACAGTAAAACACAAGTTATATGACTGTCAATAAAATACATTCATTCCTTACCTGCTTAACTGCGTGATGATAAACAAATCTAAGTAACACGCAAAACAAAGTCCCCAAATCTGAATCATCTGTCTTCCAAGCTGCCGTGGCAGTTTTATACCCGGGTGCTCTCCTCTTCGCTTACATACATTTGACTAGGCACAATACTTGTAAGTGATACTCAGGTTAATTTGCAGCCCTAGGCACCTTTTCCTCCTTTCAAGCAGCCGGTGGGCTTGCTACACAGCTCCAAACACGCATCTTATCTCAGAGGTAGTGGCGGCGAGGCGCTTCCCAGTAGAATTCCTGTTACAAGGAGGTTCCTTCCCTAAAGGGCTAATCACGTTCTCGACCTGGTGCAAAGTAAAAGGCTCTCCGGTTCAACTCTTGGGGACTAGGAGAACAGCCAACAGAGACTTAAACTCCCTGTCACTGCTTGGCTGTGGCACCAGCGGTAACCAGCGGCCAAGAAGCACCAGCCCCTCTCCGGTGGAGCTGGAAGAGAGGGCTCCCAGTCCCAGATCTTCCCGCTTCCCACCCCCACCTCCAAAAATAAAAGGCCAGCTTTAAAGTGGGTATAATATAAGCTAGACAGACTCCAAATCTTCACTCTTTGCTTTTAACTTCCACCTTGTATTCCAAGCTCTGGCTTCAAGTTGAAATCCAACTCTCTTCCGCTCTCCCCACCGCCCTCCAGATTCTTGGGAGTTGCTGAAGGAAAGGAAGGAGTGACGGTCTGCAAGAATACTCCAACCCAGAGCCTAGGAAGTCATTCAGCGGTTCTAAACCCTGCTTCGCAGTCAGACGAGGACAGTGATTAGGGTTTTATACCGCAGGCATCCTCAGGAACCGTCATTTACTAACATATATAGTTCATTAAAATAAATTAGATAAATATGAACGCAAAAAGGTATTAAGAGACTCCAGAGATCTGGTCTATTCTCTCATACAGAAGAGGTGTGCTCAAGTTTGGCTTGGGAAGGGTGAAAATGGAGCATTCTGGAAGGATGGAAACCCCCTGGCGCACCCCACTCTGTGGGGCTGCAAATGCCCACACCGAGCACAGGTTCGCGGCAGGGGCCGAGCGAGAACCTGCGCTAGCGGGGCGGAGTGGGGGGGCACCTTTCCTGCACGCACGGGTCATTCCCACAGCAGCCCCAAGCCCGGGGCCAGCAGGTCAACCAGGCACCTTGCTCGCCTCCCTTCCCTGAGCTCAGGTGGCGCAGGCGTTGCCACGAGCTGCGGAGAAATCTCCAGACAGAGTCGCCTGTTGATAACCCTCCAGTTAAAACGTTCTTGGCTGCGGGAGCCCTTCAGATGTCAATTTCCCTTTCACGCGCGTGAGCTTCGGGTATAACACAGCAAAACGCACTTACCTAAAGACCGAACGTCTGTTCCTTACTGGATCTGACTGCACTGAAAGTTTTTTTTTTTCCTCCCTCCACCCTTGCGCAACAACAGCAGTCCTCCAAAGAGGATGCTTGAATTGAATTCTATGAAGCCCTCGTTTCTTCCAATGAAGTCACGGACTCTGATGGCACTGGCTTGTCAGGCGGGACGACCGGACTGGGAAGGAGACCAGGTAGAAACTAGTGACCTAGTGACGGGTGAGGGGCGCCCAGCCGTGCGGACCACGGTCTCAGCCCCGTTCCCTCTCCGTGGGAGTCCGGGGGAAAAGCCCTTGAATCCCGAGGCTGGGGGATGGGGTGACGCTGCAGCTGGAGTACTTTTATGTCTCGGAGCTAAAAGGGCTTTTGAATTTAAAAAAGCATTGCTGGGGCTGTCGCGTCAGCCATCAATGACGACAAGAATAGTTCTTTCCCAGAAATTAAAAAAAAAAAAAGAAGAAGAAGAAGAAGAAGAAAGAAGGAAGGAAAGGAAAAAAAAAAAAAGCGTGAACAATAGATTCTTACCTCCATCTATCCCAATATAAGGAAATGTTGTAGAAAGCAGGAACTTGTCCTTAATTTGCGGGGGAGGGGGGCGCGTATGTTCAGAGAAAACCCTCAGTGGGTGTTAGAAATTACTGATACATGCAGGTTTGGCATTTAAGGAATAACGTGCTCTCCTCGTTATGTGTCAATACGTGAAGTAAAAGTAAAGATTTAAATATGTGTCAAAACAACTGTGCTGAAGGGGAAGTGATAAGCCCATAGAAACGTTCATAAAAGCAAAAGGCACTGACCATACTCACATGCCTATTAAAAACGGGGGGTGGGGTTAGGCAAGTAGGAACAGTGAGGCAATTAAATTTTTCATGTAAAGTCTGTTCTTGAATTTCAATTTATTAGGACCAAGATAATCAGGGGTTTCTTCTGATAGCTCCTCTCTGAAATGAGTACTCTGTGTCCAATTAACTGTTCACCAGCTAATTCACAAAATCAGAAATGTACTGCCAAATACTATGCCTAAATTAAAATACTGTGCCCAAAATAACGTGTTCGTGTGTGATTTGAAACATTTTAAGGAAAAAAAATGGTGCCCTCAAAACTCACAGTTCTCTTCCTACCATTCAGTGGCATTTTAGTGCTTAAGGTCCTGCTAAATTCATAAAAATACACTTTAAAACAAAGTCCTCCCTCAGCCATGTAATTGCTTATGATGAACAAATACTGACCTGAACAACCTTCTGAAGATCAGACCAGTGAACTTCCTGACCTTGCAATTGTCAGGTCTCTTTTAAACTCGCTCTTAAATAAACATATAAAATGTAACCTTTCAAATGGCCCAAGAATGTGTGCCAAGAAGGGTGACTGGGAGGTGGGGCGTTATGTCTATGTAACATGTAATATAAATAAGGACAGAAATTAAAAAAAAAAAAAAAAGAAGGTAAAAGATATTGGGGTAATACATGAAATATTGGTGTAATACATGACATGGGATATGTCTTAGTAGTGCAATTGCCACTAACATACGAATTAATAAATATGGCCATATGGATCTTCGAGGTCCAAAAGTAACAAAAATGTGAAAAATGAAATACTGCAACAAAACAGAGCTTATTAAAAATAACACTAGTTAAGTTTCCAGTAGCAGATAAAGAGAATAACTTACCAGAGGAAATTTCAGGAAGCAAGAAGACTGTGAGAAAAATACATCCAGGATTCGAATAGATAATCCATGATCTTCCAAATCAAGGTAAAGTAGTGAGCTGCAGGATAGTGGGACTTTGAAAGAATCAGCAGTTCCTGGTGGCATGTAACCAAGAAAAACCCAGTTACACAGAGAGCCACGAACCCCCAAGGCAAGAAAACAGAATGTGAAAACGCTTTATATTGGGGGGTGGGGGTGGGATGGGGGTGATTCGTGGCGATCCTTAAGCAAAGTGAAATTTTACAGGCTGTGCATCCCCATACAGTGGGGAAAGACAGAAGCTGTGGAACCCCAGAGAACAGGAGGTGGACTACAGATAAATCTGCAAAGACAAGTGGAAGGATGTGTTGCAGACAACGAGATAAAGAGAGAACTAGTGAGCAAGGCTGTAGTCATCCTGATAGATATAGCAGCGAGAATGATTTAGGCTGCTGGGGAGGATCCAATGAGAAGCCGAGAGGGCCCCGCTTCGGAAATCCTGCCCGGATCTTCTCGGAGCGACCTGCGTCGGGAACAGGAGTCTCAGGATTTACACTGTCCATCAGCGCGTTTCCCTGGTATTTCCCTCGGACATGTTCACTCGCAGCAGCTGAGGGGGGCGTAGTGAGGAGGCCCCCAACGCAGCCAACCCCGCGGCTCCCCAAACAAACCGCTGCGACCGGTCACCGTTCGAGGACCAAGTCGCCAGCGATCCGCGTGGGGCGGCGCGGGTGGGGGCGCGGGTGGCGGCAGAGGAGGCCGGGGCGCGGGGTGCGGTGCCGGGAGGCTCCGGGGGCGCAGGGACGGGGGCGGGACGCAGCGACGGCCGCAGCAGCCCCAGGGCCCCCCACCCCCTCCACCCCGTCGTTCCCGCGGCCCGCGACTGGGGCAACGGCCTCCGGGAACCCTCAGCTCCCAACGCCCGGCCTGAGAAGCCCGAGCTTCGGGGGCTGTAAGGACCGTCCCTGGGGAGCCAGTGGCAGGTTCCGAGGCGTCCGCCCCCCCCCACCCCCCGGATTCCCGCGGTCGCGGTGGGAGCGTGTGCTAGACACGGCTTTGCTCGGGTCCGGGTACTGAACACACGGCGGCCTGATCGGTCGGTAAGATTCGCGTTATTCCCGCCCCTGCTCCGCTCTCGGGCCCCATTCATTCCCTCTGGAGCCCAGGCCCCCAAGTCTCTCTCCAGGAACTTCCCCTTCCCCTTGAGACCTTTTCCCCAGGGCGCTAAGTGACTGAGAGGCTGCTCATCTGTCCGCAGATGATTTACGTTTTGGCTGCGGAATGATCTCCCCTGCTCGGACCACCCTCCCCAGAGAAGGTCCCCGCCCTCCCCGCGCGTTCGCGCTCAGCGCGGGGGTCTCTGTAAGGAGCGCCGTGGGAGTCTTCCGCCCTCCGCTCCAGCAGCAGCTGCCTCCGGACCCCGAAGCGTACGAATTACCCGCCTCGCTCTCTTTTTCAGAAATAGGAGGGAAAGGGAGAGTGCAAATTGATTTCTCGCAGAGACTGAGGCGCTGAATGATATAGGGAATAAACATTTGCCCTGGATAAAAATGTCCCTGGTAAGTAATCTTATTTTCTGCGGGTGAAAAAGAAACAGATTGCTTCTCACTTCCCCATCCCCCACTCCATTCATTTATTCGCTCTCTGTATGTAAATCACGAGCTGGGTCAGTGGAAATTTTCTTTTCCTCTTTCCTAGGAGAGTAGTAGTATGCAAGGATGAATTTGAAGTAGAGGGTTTTAAGGAGACAGTATGAACGCTTTAAGGTCCTTTAAATCCTACATTAAAAACCCAAAGACTGGTAAAGCAGTTAATCCCTCTTTGCTTACTAAAGTGGTATGTAAGTACCTCCCTTATTTCCTAGGAACTCTCTTTCCTTTCTGAAAATAAAGAAAATAGTTTTGGGTATTGGCCCCCTGTCTATGCTTTTAGTATGTCTTGGCCATGTCCTGAAATATAATTTCAGTTCCAAAATTGGGAATGGTTATTTTTCACATTTTGCAGGTAAATTAAGGCTATAGAAACCACTTATCAAATGTGCGTCTTGGTTCCAGTTACTGTACCAGATACAAACTAATGGTATCCACAATGGCTATTTGCATATTGTGGTGATTCTATAAATTCATAAAGCCCTCTGCATTTCCATGAGTCTATAGCACCCCCAGCCTGTGCATGCTCACAATGTGAAGAGTGGATAGGTGTATCAGTGGGAAGAAGCCAAGTGGCTCTTGGTTGTGCTTACATCATATGTCACTAAGTATGGAGAATAATATGTTTTGCAAATTGTGTGAACTTGGTTTTCAAGTGTAAGCTGACCGTTTTTGATGCGCAAAGTTAAAGGAGACTTGCTCTAAGAGAAATCGTTGCAATTTTTCATTAAGAAACTTTTTTGTCTATTGTTATTATCTTACTCTAATCCATTATCCCCTAAATTTAATAATAAAGGATAAGCTAATTGGCACAAAATGTATTCCTGATGATAACAGAATGGCTGAAAGTCATCTGAAATGTATAATACTAAAATTGTATGGGTAAGAATAAACTTCATTTTAGACAATCTGTATTCTAGAAATCAGTAGTATAAAATCTCAGAAGAGAGTTAGTCAGGTGGCATATTGCAGGACAAAATCTGCATGTTCTCAACTCTCTCTCTCTAGTCTTTATAACCATCAACATTTGCAAGAGAAAAAAACTGCAGTAAGGCCATGTTGGCATAACAGTTTTTTCTTTCTCTCCTCAGGCTGTTGTCCAGCTCTAATGATGTCCTAGAGCCGAAGTGTTTCTTCTGTTGTCTCATTTTACCAAGAGGATGATTTCTGTGTATGTCTCTCTGTTTTAGAGAGGCTGACAAATGCTGCTAGGAGGATCTGAGGTTCCCATAAAGAGGATGAAAATTCTGAATTACATTCATTACAAATAACCCTTAACAATTGTGAGAGGTAGAGAGCACTCTTTTCACATAAGACTTTGATATGCTGCCTAAAGCTACTTTCATAATTTCCTATTCAAAGAAATGTACTTGTTCACTGAGGACCCACCCTGACTTAAATTAGAAAAATGTAACATTCAGATTTATATTTTATATGTGAAATAAATGTGTGATTGCTGTTCTTAAACATTTGACAAAAAGACAGGATAACAAAAATATTAATTTTGTGGCCCATAGTTTATGAACTTTAAAAGTGTTTACAGCATGTAAAGTTTATTTAACAATTTAAGTGTTTGAGCTCTATACTAATTCATATGGTTACACTGGATCAACTCCTTAATGAAGCCATAGGCTTTACATCCCCTAGCTGCCTTTTACTTTGAGAACAAATCTGGTTTATACTTTGACTGCTCCAAAAGTTATCCATTTTAATTTTACGTCGAGAATGTCTTCCTTGGATAATCACAATGCGTATTTGCAGCTAGCACTTCAGTACGTTTTACATTATTGGTGACACTGTTCTTAGCTATCGTGGTGCCACCTTCTTAGAAGTACTGTGTATGAGTACCAACTAATGTATTTCTTGCCTATTAACCCACTAAAATTTCTAATCTCAAAGCAATATTCAAGATACACTTTATTATAGAAATTGGAAAGCGATTTGCCTGGGAAGCAAAATGTTGACATGATTCAGGTGATTTTAACATTACATCTAACGTGTAACAAAAATGGGTTAAAGATAAATAAATTGGGACTATTACTTGCATAGCAAAGACAGTCACACATGACACACACATTTGTGCATATATAATTACCTTCAATGATATATTGAAATGTATTCATTTTCACATCAGGTGTGTTTATTTTGTTTTTAGAGTTTTCTCTTTGAGTCTAAAGTTTTTTAAATACCTATGTGTGCAAAAATCTTCACATTTTATTTTATAAGATCAATATACGCTAAATAAACCAGGGCTAATGTATTCAAGTCCAAAAAGTATGTTGGAACTTGAACGGACATTAAGGATCATTTAATCTTATCACTCATGATGACAAAGAAGTGGAGACCCAGAGAGGTTAATTGATTAGTGTAATCATACACTAGCCAGTAACCTAAGGAACTTTAAATGTAGGTTTCTTAACTTCTTAGCTAGTGGTCATTCTATAAATTTTATTACTAAGACAGGCATTCTTTGAGAATGGGCCTAGAAAATAAGTGAAAGGAAGGGAAAGTAGCGCAAAGATATATAAATCACACCGAGTCTTCTTAGCTACTTTTCTGATAATACTTTTCATTGTAGAAAACTTTAATTCTCCTGCTTTATTTTGTCCTGCACTCCCCCACCTTCACATGATTGGAACCGATTTCATGATAAAATTTACCTTTGCAGAAAATATCCTCAGTATTCTTTTTGTACACACATTGGGTTGCTGTTCCCTAGACTACTTTCCCTCATGGAATATAAACTGTCCATAATTCCAATCACTTGCAATGTCATACTCCATTATATCACCTATATGTTCTACTTTTTACATTCCCTAAAAATATAGAAAGTGGATTGTTCCAAGAGGAAAGCTGTCATGTCAAAATAAGAAGTTTAATTACAATCTAACACATATCTGAAATTGTACACACACACACACAATATGAAAGAAATGCAGAGATTAAGAGAGTGTCTTTTAATGGAAACATTAAATAAAACATACAAACAAAAATATCTCACCACACATGTTCCATCAGTATATAAAAAAGTTCCAATTTGAATAAAAGCTGCAAGACATCAACCATTTAGAAGTGTTCAGTGTTCTGAAGTGGTTAGAGAAAACGTACCAGTGTTACTTTATATACATCAATATCTGTGTGTTACATGCAAGCCATTTTGTTTTGAAAATGGCAATTCTGAAGTAGAATATCAGCACTAAAATCCATTTTGCAGTTATCATTACTTCAAAAGAGTTATCATTCTTGGATTCAACAAGATGAACATAGAATCAAATGAAACATTTAAAAATGTCTATAGTGTATGCTTATAAAATAAAAATTTTTGCACTAATCTGAAAAATTAGTGATTTTTTAAAGCATTTCTAGAAGCATTTTTCAGTAGCATTTTTATTGCTGTGTGTGTTCTGTGTGCTTAATAATTAGTTTTCAGATGGGACACGGTAGCTTCTGCCAGTTTTCCCAATACTTTGGGAGGCCGAGGAGGGAGGATTGTTTGAGGTCAGGAGTTCAAGATCAGTCTGGCCCATATGGTGAAACCCCATCTCTACTACAAATACAAACATTAGCTAGGCATGGTGGCAGGCACCTGTAATCCCCGTTACTTGGGAGCCTAAGGCAAGAGAATTGCTTGAACCTAGGAGGTGGAGTTGCAGTGAGCCGAGTGGCACCAATGTACGGCAGCTTGGGGGAGACAGCAAGACTCTGTCTAAAGAAAAAGTAATTAGTTTTCACATGCATATAATGGGGGTGCCAAGCTTAACCTATTTCAAAACACGTATTGTCAACTCTCAGTTCCATGAAGAAGGAAACGTGATTTTTTCATATTTATTCTCAACTCATTCAGTTTGTATCTCCACCTATCACATCTCTCTACATAGAGAAGGAGCTCAATAAATATTAATTTAATGGATGAGACTAAGGACTTAACCAATTTTTCCCTCTTTAACGGTCTTACAAAGGTTTATTCATTTAATTTTTATCTAATATTTAGAAATATTGTTATTACATCATGGCATTCCTCAAAAAATGCTTGGAATGTTTGACATGTTTGGCATCATGAACAAAATTATATTAGAAATCATGACCTCTGCACAAGACTTTATAGTCTTATAAGTATCTTATTATCTACCATATTAATTTAATCCTCTCACCATGTTGTGAAGTAACCTACTATTTTATCTTAATATGAGAGAAGTGAAGTATGAGGAAATTGAAGCACTGTTACCAATTTCTATCTTAGTATGGTCATTCAGGCTGTTACAGGAAAATATGATAAATTGGGTGGTTTAAACCACATAGGCTGGGAATTCCAAGACCAAAGTGACTGCTGATTTGATTCACAGAGAGGACCTGGTCACATGACTTCGTAGGTGTGTCAAAGCAGAGGAGGGGAGGTGGAGAAGAGAGGAAGATAGCTTACTTCTTTTATGGGCACCAATGCCATTATGTGGGCCCCACCATTACAGTCCACTGTAAACCTTATTACCTCCCTAATTCTTTACCTAGAAATAGCGTCACACGAAGACTAGGGCATCAAAATACAGATTTTGGGAAGATGTAAACAACCAGCCCATAAAAATTACTATGGACATTGTTGAATTCTTTTTATTCACTATATTGTATTTCCTAGTTTTTGAAGAAATATGATGAAAATGCCATATAATATTATTAACAAGGTATTTACATAAGTGTACATTCTTCATCTGTCAACTACGTGCAAGTATATTTAGGGAAGGGTGAAATGTTTGTAGTATTATAAACTGAATTATAAAACTGTCAGTTTATAATTAACATTTTGCTACTCAAAGTTCTCAGAATTAACATTTTTTGACATTAACAAAAATGATTATTTTCTAAATTATTTGTACTATCAATATTTATTTATTAGTGTAGTGACTAAAATATATTCACTGGCATAGTGGATATATGAATTTATGCATATTGATACATGTATATATATGTACAGTTTTTGAAACAACTTACAAAAATAATAAATATGAGAATATTCAAGGAAATTATAAGATACAACTTCCTTGCAATCTTTCCTTGTAACTGGATTTTAATATAACTAGTATGGGTGTGGTAGAAACAATAATGGCCCCCGAAATATCCAATCCTAACTCCCATAACCTGTGACAGCTTCCCCTTTTATGGCAAAAGGGACTTCGCAAATGTTCAAATACTAAGTATGTAGAGATGTAGAAGATATCCTAGATCAGCTTACATGCTCAAAGTAATCACAAACATCCTTACAAGAGGGAGGTGGAATGAAAGGGTCAGAGAGATGTGAGGACAGAAGCACTGCTGGAGTGACAGGGAGGAGTGAGAATAGCCAAGAAATGCAGGCAGGATGCCCTCTAGAATCTGAGAAAGGGAAGATTCTTCCCTAGTGCTTCCAGAAGAAATGAAACATTGCTGACCCATTTTGGACTTCTGACCTCCAGAACTGAAAAGGAATACAATGTGTGTTACTATAAGTCATACTTGTGGCAATTTGTAACAGCTGCAATAGGAAACAAATAGTCATAAACAGAGTAGAACATTAGTACTTTCTTTCCTGTCAAGGAACCAGCTGATTTAACAGCAAACTCTTGCTTCAGCATCATTCCATTCTCCAGGTACTGAGCAAACCACCAACTTTCATGAGTCAAGAACTGTGTTGAGGCTGGGCACAGTTGTTCACACCTATAATTCCAGCTCATTGGAGGATCTAGGAGGGGAGGATCCCTTGAGCCCAGAAGTTCCAGATCAGCCTGGGCAACATGGCAAAACACGGTCTTTACAAAAAACACAAAAATTAGCTGTGCGTGCTGGTGTGCACTGTAATCTCAGCTACTCAGGAAGCTGCCGTGGGAGAGCTGATTGAGCCCAGGAGGTTGAGACTGCAGTGAACCATCATCACATTGCTGCATTCCAGCCTGGGCAACAGGGTGAGACTCTGTCCCAAGAACAAAGCTGATTCTTCCTATTCATTTACATAGGGGATGGATAGGAAATCAGAGGAGGAAAAAATAGACATAGCACTGCTTTCCAGAAATTAGTGAATTAAGGGTAGATAACACTACATAATTTTATTTACTAAGAATATACTTAGCATATAGCCTCACACATATTAGCACCCAACACGTGCTGATTTAGGTATAACAAATACGTACATAGAGTGAGAAAGTGCATAATGCTCATTACATTTGAAGATTACGTGAAAAGTACTAATCTTAGTATGAAGAAAAGACACTACACACAAGATTCAATGCAGAAGCTGGTGAAAATTAACAAAATATTTACAAATTTTTGAGATTTAAAATGAGACCACCAAAAGAATAACTGGCAAGGAGTAGGAGGCTTTTTATTTTCATGGGAGAGATTGATAGGAAGCAAGTGGATGTTTTTCTTCCCATATATTGCATAGTGTTGCAACTAAGAAAAGGAACGGAACATTTACTTCATTAGGATGCATCATTAATTTTAGTGTCTCGTGAACTCCAAAGGCCTTTCACCCCTTTAATGAAAGTAAAGAGGAACTAAGCTACTTGATTGCCAATCCTCTTGGTATCTCTAAATCTCTCAAATGCTTGTATTTCCTATTCAAAGAAACACATACTTTGTAGGAGGATGAAAAACAATCCTTCACATTGATTATAGAGTTTTGCCTCTGAGAAGAAAATATGAATTTATAGACAATAGTAATTTTAAAAGACTATATAAGGTGAATTAATTAATTTATTAATATTTATTTATTTGAGACGGAGTTTCGTTCTTGTTACCCAGGCTGGAGTGCAATGGTGCGATCTCGGCTCACCGCAACCTCCGCCTCCTGGGTTCAGGCAATTCTCCTGCCTCAGCCTCCTGAGTAGCTGGGATTACAGGCACATGCCACCACGCCCAGCTCATTTTTTGTATTTTTAGTAGAGACGGGGTTTCACCATGTTGACCAGGATGGTCTCGATCTCTTGACCTGGTGATCCACCCGCCTCGGCCTCCCAAAGTGTTGGGATTACAGGCGTGAGCCACCGCGCCCGGCCATTCGTTTCTTATTTATGGAAAGAGACCAAGTCTAAAAGTCAACCCAACAAATGCTTATTGAGCATTTATTGAACAATCATTTATTGATAGTATTATATAAAAGAAGCAAGATTTTAAATGTTACAAGGATGTAAATATAAATCAGTTACATTATTTCTATCCTAGTTAGAGGATAAAAGAAGTATACTGACAAATATCAAGGTTTTTAAACTCCCTCCTACATTTAATTCACATCATCAATCATCCTTTTATTAGAAAGAAAAAACATGTATTGATTGTCCATCTACGAGCCAAGCACTTCCTAGAAAAAAATGCTGAATAAGACAACCAAAGGAACAAACCCAAGTATCTGACAACTGTTAACACTGTCATAATAACGACGACAAAAGAAATAATGAACCTATACTTAAATCATTGCTGCTGCCTTTATCCTAGACATAAGATCTCTTCAGCCATCATCCAGCATGCTTCATGCCTTTTCTTGTTAGCTTCTGTCAGCATGAAATAAGATAGTTACCTATTGCTTGCATTTGTTGGTAGGATAAGTTTCTTTAGAGTTTAGGAGGTAGCAGTTGAGGCAGGATGAATAATCTGGTCCATATAAGTTAAGTGTTGTAATGAACAACTCCAAACTTCAGTTGCTGAAAAGAAAATTTAGGTGGATGCCGTGGCTCACACCTGTAATTCCAGGACTTTGAGAGGCAGAGGATGGAAGATCCCTTGAGCCCAGGAGTTTCAGACCAGCCTGAGCAATATAGGGAGACTTTGTCTCTACAAGAAAAAAAAAAACAGCCAAGCATGGTGGTGCACACCTGTGGTCCCAACCTCCTTTTGAGGCTGATGTGGGAGGACCACTTGGGCTGGGGAGGTAGAAGCTTCAGTGGGCCACTGCACTCCAGCCTGGGTGACAGAATGGACTCTGTTTCAAAACAAACAAACAAAAATAGATAAGAAAGAAAGCAAATTTAATTTTTGCTCACACACAGTTCATTTGTGTCAGCAGGATGAGTGTGGTGGTCTGATTCCCAGAGATTTAGGGACCCAGTAGCCTTTCACTGACTAACCCAAGACTACAGGAAGTCCTTTGATGTTCTCTATGCATTTGATCAGTGAGAGTGAGAGTGTGGAGGATCATTTAGGAGAATTTTGTGGGCCGGCTCTAGAAGTGGCCCATATCATTTCCCTTCACACTCCACTGAGAAGAGCACATTTTCATAGCCACATCTAACTGCAAGAAACAGTTAGGGTCTTTGAGGAAGAGACCAAAGCAAATCTACCATCCGACCACTTCTCACTCATTTCATTGCTGACACATTA